GATTGATTGCGGCACAAGAACAGCATAGCATACCGAGGTACAAGACGTGCACAGAAGAGGAAAATGTGGTGCTCCTTCCACGCTAGTTGATCGTAGAGCTTTCGCTGCCTTTATTCCCCGAGCACAGCAAACAGTCGTGTCGCCTACACTGCACAATCGATCATGATAACTCCTCTACGACTACTGCCATTGCAACTGATTACACGGCTCACACGATCATGAGAGATACACGGGGTGTACGTAGCAACAGAGACGTTACGACGTGCACCATGTTTGTACGCCACACGTACTCCGACGCCCCTGGTTGGACGCCACGTACGGCGTGGAAGCAGACCATGCATCTTGCTCGCGAAATCCAGCCACCTTCGTCCATCGTAGGAGCCGTGGCCACCACATACGCGCACACAAAGGAGAGGAGGAGAGAGGAGCATGCGCGCAGGCAATGCATGTACGTAAACGTCAACAGCGGCCGCATGCAGCCGATTTTCGCGACGGCCACTAACCTTTCGGAGCGGCCGCCCGTGCCCACACATGCACTGATGCACGACGCGACGAGAGGAAAAACACGGCCGGCCAGGCAGGCAGACATGCATGGTTCGATGCTCCGTGGCAACTGGCAAGCGGCAAGAGGACAAACTTTTTCCTCCAAATTTCACTCGCGAGCCTGTCGATTCGCCATCCCTTAACATGCCGTTCAGTCGGCCGATGATGGAAGAAGAATATCAGTGTCTCCACTCTGGTTAGTAGGTTAGGTTTTTTTTCTTTGTTCTCATGGATACGATGGTCGGGCGAATGTCGAGCTTCTTCTTCGAGTTTGTATTTTGAGCTTCGACCGTCCTCAGGTTCATCCGTTTGGACGTAGTCGACGGAGGTCCCTGTCATCTCCTTAAAGCATTGAGGTTAGGCTTTCTCGTCACGTGGCAAGATTTGGTGTCATGTGCTTCAGATCTATACAAGGGTCCAACAACGCGACTGCGGCCCCAGGATGTTGGTTCTTAAGGGTACGCACACGAAAACTTTCCAGTTGTCATCGACAATTAGGTCAAGCCATCTCCGGTGTCATGTTTGTTGCGTGTCGACGGCTCACTCTAACGGCAGTAGTGGTCGCTCAGTTGAGTGTGGCGTTGCAAAAGCCAAGCTCCGTGTAGTTTGTTTTGCAAAAAATAAATCAAAATATATTTAAAAGTTTCTAAAAATATCAATTTTTTCTACAAATACATATGGATATTTTTTAAGTATGTATAAAATTTCATCAACTAATCTGATTATTTGCAAGCTACAAAAAAAAACAAATATCAGACCCTAATACAACAAAGAAGAAGCCTGTTTCAATATATGTATTTGCCTTTTTTGTGTACATCACATATGAATATATATGTTCATGAACTTTATACATGTGTACATGAAAACCCTTTTTCAGATTTTACGAGAAGTGAAAAAGGTATTTACACTGGAAAAAAGAGAGCACCATTGAGGTCAGCCTCCACAGGCGCTTTGCATGGTGTCGTTTGTCTTGAAATCTCGATGTGATTTTTATTATATTTAAAATACTTTGTATTTTTGATTAACTTTTTATAATAGATTCGATCCTTTCCGAAAAAAAAAACTAGATTATTCCCAGGGGAATGAAACGCAAAGCATCTTTCGGTAGCCCCTATCCAAATCCGAGGGTCAGTGCGTGTCACGGTATTTGTTTTAAAGCCCGTAGCGATGGACACGACGATAACTCGGCATTCCCGTCAAGCGTATCGTATATCATACTAGATGTTGATTGCGGGACAAGAGCAGGTAGCATACCAAGATACGAGGCGTGCACGCACGGAGAAAATGCGGCATTCCTTGCTGCTGGTATAGATGATCGTAGAGCTTTCGTCGCCTTTACTCCTCGAGCAGACAGACAGTCGTGTCACGCTACACTGCACATCGGTCACAACTCCTCTACAGCCACTGTTTGCAACTGATTACGCCCTTCACACGGGGTGTTGCGCGTAACAACAACACAGACGGTAAGACGGTTTTACGAGATGTGGAAAAGGTATTTACATTGAAAAAAAGAGAGCTCAATTGAGCTCGGCCTCCACAGGCACTTTTCGTCGTGCCGTTTGTCTTGAAATCTCGATGTAATTTTTTATTATATTTAGGATACTTTGTATTTTTAATTAACTTTTATAATATCGGAAATATTAATATTTTTTCGATTATACTAATCCACAAGTAAGCAGTAAGCATGGCATAAAAGATATGCATCTCATAGCTATATTAAGCATACTAGCACATATGCAGAGGAAGTAGTGGAAGCAGAGCTGAACAGAGTTAGGGACGGATCGGGAGCAGTCACGTCGACACGCTCCCCAGCTCGGCTCATCCCCGCAACCCGCGGCGCGCGCGCGTCGTGCCGACGCGGGCGGCGAAGGAGAAGCACGTATGTACCACTCCTCTTCTCAAGCTCCCAATGGCAAGTGATAGAGCAACCCTTCTAAAGGGGGTTCAACTCTCCTAAATTAGTAAGGTGGGACTAAATTTTCCACCACCTACCATCTTATACATGAGCCTCAAGATTAATCAGAATTTAGTATCTTATATGGGTTTAAGCTCATCCATAATCCAACATATAATAGATCTGATCCTTTCTAAAAAAAATAGACGAGATTATTCCTACGGGAATGAAACTGATTACGCAGTTCACACGGGGTGTTGCACGTAACAGCAAAACAGACGGTAAGACGTGCTGCGTCTGTAGACCACACACTCCGTCTCGTCGTAAGAGCATCTCCAACAGGCGCCGGTCGCGCCGCGCGTAAAAAACACATATGCCGCGTGCGCATCGCCTGATTTGGCGCGGCGCGTTGCGCCCGCTCCAGCAGGCGCGCTAAAATACAGAACGCACGCACCGCTTCAGCAACGCGTAAAAAAGCAGCGCGCACGCTCATTCTAGGCTATTGAAAAATAGATAGATTGCATAGGTTTTAACGATACAAAGATATTTTACATCGAAAACATAGATTACATAATAATTAAAAACGACAAACGATAAAACACGAGATAGATTACATAAAAAAACTAGTCTAAGTCGCTATCATCACTATCATCATCCTCCTCGGCGATGTCGTCCGAGGTATCCAGCCAGATGTTCAACCACCGATCATTATCCGGCATGAAGAACGACTACCCACCTGCTTCAACGAGATCGGACTGCGTGTTCGCCAATGCCTTGCGCCGACGCCTGTCCAACCGCGCCTCGCGGCGCCTTTGCGTGTCCTCCTCGCGACGCCTTGCCCAGTAGGACTGCTCGTAGGCGACGTCCTCCGGGTGACGGCGCCGCCACTCCGCCATGACCCGCTCGTCCTCCTGGGCGACGAGGAGGCGGCGCTGCCGCTCGGCGTGCTCCACACGGTCTTGTGCCGTGTTCAGACACGGCGGCGGGGCACGGTCGAGCGCTTGCTGGAGCGTGTACACATCCTGAAAGTTCATTTGGCCGCGCGGCCGGCCTAGGCGCGATGCCGCCGCGTTGTACGCGCGGCCGGCCTCGCGCGCCGTCCTGTACGTGCCGAGGCCGAGTCGGAGATCGCCGGAACGTATCTCCGCGTAGTAGCCGCCGTTGGGCGCAGGCAGACGCCGCGGTAGCCGGACGCTCCTCGGTGGCGCGGCGGCATGGCGGCGCGTTGGTGACAGGGCGCCGGGGCGGCGGAGGCGCGTCGGTGGCGGGACGCTGGAGCGACGCGTGGCAGAGGAAGAGGAAAAGAAAAAGAGGAGACGTGAAAAGGCGCGTGACGCGCGCCGGAAGCGGCATGCAAAAGATGGCGCGCGAGCTAGCGCCTTTACACGCGCGCGCAAGCGGTTTCCGCGCGCGTGGTTTTTCCGCCGCCGCTGGAACGCGGCAAAACGCCCCCCGCGCTAAAGGCTGCGTTTATCGCGCACGTCGTTTCGCACAGCCGTTGAAGATGCTCTAAGTTAAGATTCCTCGAACCGTAACCCACACGCAGGCACACAAGAGCGCATGCAATGCATGTAGGAGTAGACGTCAACAGCGGCCGCATGCAGCCGATTTTTTACCTCCCACAAGTCCCGAGAGAAGAGCGCGACGGCCACTAACCTTTCGGAGCGGCCGCCCATGCCCACACATGCACTGATGCACGACGCGACGAGAGGAAAAACACGGCCGGCCATGCCCAGACCGCACATGCACGACACGACACGAGGAGAGAAGAGACACGGCCGGCCAGTAGAGGCATGCACATGCAGGACCAGAGAGGAGAGACACGGCCGGCCGGCCAGGCATGCAGGGAGGACCGAGATGGATCCATCACGTCCGATGCTCCGTGGCAAGCGGCCAAGAGGAGCTGGCCGCTCCGGCGCGGTGGTCCGGAACCCGGACGGACGGCGGATCCTTCTTTTCTTGCGCACCGCTGTCTGCTGCCCCCGCGCGCGCACGGGTGGCATCGTCCCCGACCCCCACCGTATCACGCGATCCCTTCCCTTTTCCCTTCCGTTTCCTGTCCCCTTCCCCATGCGCCGCTTCCCCGCACGGCCGCCCACCCTCGCCCATGTTGCCGCGCGCATGCCACCATGCACCCACACCTCCTACCCTCTGTCGCCGGCCCGGCCCGCGCGCACCCTCCCGTCGCCGTCGCGCCGTCCGTATCGGCACGTGCCCTGTCCTCACCTCCATGTACCCTACCTACACACAATTATACCTGCCTGCATGCCGGCTCACTACTCCACTACTTAACTCCTCCAGGTAAGATACCACTACTGATACAACTACTGCAAAGGTGTGCGTGCGTGCGTGAGAGAGAACCTGCTTTGCTTTTGCGTGAGCTGCAGTGCAGGGCATACGGGTCGGGACTGACCCGGGGTGGTGGTGGTGTATATAACCAGTCGTCACGCACAAGAATCATCCTAGCCCCTCTCTCTCTCTCTGAGCTTCTCTCTGCTTCATCAAGCGAGCGAACGACCCACCGCTACTCTGCTCGGAAGAACGGAAAGGAAAAGAAAAGAAGATGGCCGTCTCTGTCCGCCTCGGCTCCTCCCCATCCATCCTTCTGCTCCCGCTCCTCTTCCTCTTCACCATCCCGTCGCTCGCCTCCGCCTGCGACCGCTGCGCGCGCCACTCCAAGGCCGCCTACTACACCTCCTCGCTCACCCTCGCTGGTAAGTGCCCCCACCCATGGATGATGGATCATGGATGGATCCCTCGACCTGCTCTACTTTTGGTTTCTGCCGGTGTGTTGTGTGGGTTGTAGAGGAGGTGGTTCTGAGTTCTGATTGGGTTTGCCTTTTCCGTGCAGCCGGCTCCTGCGGGTACGGCACGGCGGCCGCCTCCTTCAACGGCGGCCTGCTCGCCGCCGCCGGCCCGGCCCTGTACCGGGGCGGCGTCGGCTGCGGCGCCTGCTTCCAGGTAGACACCAAGAAATCTTGTGCCCAACGGCTTTGGCTCGTCTTCTGGATTCACTTGCTTCTTGATCGTCGGCTTGCCCAAGAACCGAGCTATCTCGATTCCTTGGCTAATCAAATTGGTTTCGGTGTGCCGAGCGCAGGTGAGGTGCAAGGACAAGAAGCTCTGCAGCGGCGCCGGCGCCAGGGTCGTGGTGACGGACCGCGCCAGGATGAGGACGAACCGCACGGACCTGGTGCTGAGCAGCCCGGCGTTCGCCGCCATGGCCCGCCCCGGCATGGCCGCGCGGCTCACCAAGCTCCGCGCCGTCGATGTCGAGTACAAGAGGTAAAAGTGAAACCACCTCTATTGAGCTCTTCTTTTTCACCAACCGCGCCATGTGCCATTTTTTTTACCTTTCAACGCTGAACGTAGTGGAGTACTAGTAAGAGAAACGAGGCAAATAGTCTCCACCGAACGTGCCACCATAAATAAGCACAGGACACGATTTGTCTCTACAGTAGTTACTAGGACGACCTAGACTTGGAAGGCTAAAATTTGTCGGTGTTGATGCGCGTGTGCAGGGTGCCGTGCGAGTACAGGGGCAAGAACCTCTCGGTGCGGGTGGAGGAGCGGAGCCGCGCGCCCAGCGAGCTCGCCGTCCGGTTCCTCTACCAGGGCGGCCAGACCGACATCGTCGCCGTCGACGTCGCGCAGGTGGGCACCAGCAGCAGCAGCAAACCCTCCCCCGCCCTCCCCAAGAACCACTGACGTGCTTGTTTCTAACGGGATTTCATTGGTGGTGACGGATGCAGGTCGGGTCGTCGAGCTGGAAGTTCATGACGCGGGAGCACGGGCCGGCGTGGAGCACGCGGCAGGCGCCGGCGGGGCCGCTGCAGTTCAGGGTGGTGGTGACCGGCGGGTACGACGGGAAGTGGGTGTGGGCCGACCGGGAGGTGCTGCCCAGCCGGTGGCGCGCCGGCGAGGTCTACGACACGGGGGTCCAGATCACCGACGTCGCGCAGGAGGGCTGCTTTCCATGCGACACGCAGGAGTGGAGGTGAAAGCAGGCAGGCTAGTAAACAAACAAAGAGCCAAAGAAGAAGCTGATGGCTCCTCGTTTTGGCCGGGCTATGCATCACAGCACAAGGCCACACCACACCAGAGATGATTAGTTTAGTCTAACAGTTAACACCAGATGATGACTCATAGGGTCCTCCTGATGATCCATCGGCCACTTTTGCTGCCGCCGCTCGTTTTCTTTTCTCTTTGTTTTGTGAGCCTTCTGTATGTACATGAGCTGCTGACGTGAATGAAGATAAGTAAATTAAGTAGAGCATCTCGATCCTGGGGAGTGATAATGGATGACGCCGAGGCTAGTATGTGTGTAGCTTTAGTGCTTGAACAACTTGTCCCGAGATGGATGACCAAGGGATCTTCGATGCTGACCCGTAAATTTGCTCAGCCATCTGTCCATGCACAAAAAGACCAGTCCGCAGACACAGATGACGAAAGCTGACATCCAATCCAACTATGTCCACGTATATTTCAACCACTGTTGAAACAACATTGCCCACATATATTTCGACCGTTGTTGAAATGAAACTAAAGGAAAGAAATTCATGCAAACCGAGCGAGTTTTCATATAAACTGAAAGAGATTCATGCAAACATGATGGATTTTATATAAACATGACAAAGTTCATTACATTTTAGACATATTTCAGCTAAAAGCGACTAGAGGTATAATTTTGATGTACTTCTATTTTAACTAAATGACAGCTAAAAGCGACTAGAGTTATAATTTTGATGTACTTCTATTTTAACTAAATGACTGATGACGCCCGCTCCCCGTATCCGGCCGTGAGCCCCGAGAACTGAAGCACCAGCACTTACCTTCGCCTTCTTCAGTTCCGTCCCAGCGCTCTCCAGCTCTGCCTTCGCCACGCAGTTTGAGTGACTAAGCTGTTACCGATTATCAACCCACCAAGCTTGGCTTCAGGCGAAGGGGAAGAGTGGTTGCCTTTCTGGGACCCGAGCGGCGACGACCTGCCATGCACTATCTTCCTTGCTGCCGACGACACCTGTGGACGTGCCGACTTCGTAGTTGTGGAGGCGGGTCGTGACTTTGGCGAAGCCGGCGATGTCCTCCTTGTCGTTGGTCTTGCGCCACACCTTGTGCGCCGAATAGCCAAACTCCTTGTAGGCGGCTTCCAATTCCGCCTGGCACTGGCGGTACCGCCAGCGGTCGAGGTGGATCTCGCGGGTGGAGCGGTAGGACTCGAGCAGCGTCGCCTGCTCACTACGTCCGCGTCCGGCGAGATCGCCCTGCCGGCGGCGAGCTGCTCTTCCACCTACTGGTGGTCTTGGAGGAGCTGAAGGTTGTAGGCCGCGTTGACATGTGCCTCCTGAAACTGCTCCTCCCGCACCATGTCCATGTAATGAGCACGGGCCTCGCCGATGCTCATGGTGCCATGCGCCGACGAGGGTGGTGCCGACTCCTCCTCGGCAACGTCCTCCATTTGGATGTCGTCAGCCTTCGGCTGCCTGCCGGCAACAATGAGGGCCATCTCCTTCTTCTCCTCTGGCTGCAGTCCGTTCCAGAGAGCTTTGGAGTGTGAGGAGGCCATGGTGGAGTGGTGCAAAGAGAGGAAAGGAGCTGGAGGAGGATGACTGCGGCTATGGCCGGGGCCACAGTTTATATAGCGAGCGAATGGCAATGGTGTGCGGCAGACGGATAGACTGACGGTCGTGGTGTCGTTTGAACACGAAGCAGACGTGTGCAATGGGAAACGACATGGACGGTGCTCGACGAGCTAGTGAGAGGTCGTGTTCGCTCTGGCCAGACATGAATGCGGCACTTACGCTCTGGAGCAGCCCTAACCGTTCCAGACGGGAAGCGCACACGAACGGGGGTGGGCTTTTGGTGGACGAGGGCGGTTAGGAGCGAACATGGCAGCGGTCCGGACGCCGCAAAGCCACCCGTATTTTGTCTTCGGTTTACGAAGAAAATACATCCAAACCGTTTGATGGACCAATATAAACTCGTGTTGAATGATATAACACGTTTGAACCGTGTGATCCGAATGTATGCAGGCGGTTTAAGTGTCGGCGTTGAAGATGACCCTGACATTGGGTTTCAAATCGTCGGGACGCTCGTTTCAAACGGCTCACATGCCGCCATGCTCCTTTGCTTTCGGCGACGGAACTGGTCGTTAATCTTTGCTGCTTCCGCTGACTTATCAGGCCAATCTTCATGAATGGCTCTGGGCTGTATAGCACGCGTCGGTCCCTAAAAAAAAGCATCTCATTATTGCAATTTGGTGAAGGAGCTTTAAGACATCCTTGGGGAAATGCCTGTGTACAAGCTCGCAACCGGAACTAGGAGTATCTTGCTAGCGAAGGTGATGAAAGTATTCAAGAAGATTGCAAATGGAGTTCTAAACTAGCCGCAACTGGTAAAGTATGAAAAAGGATCAAATTCAAGACGACATCAATCACGATGACTCCACAATAGAACAATATTAAGTTTGAAAAAAATTCAACAAAAAATTGAACGAAGTTCGCAAAAAATGATTTTTTTTTCACGAATTTGATAAAAAAGTTCAGAAAAATTTGGAAAAAGTTCATAAAATTGGAAAAGGTTCACGAATTTGAGAAAAAGTTCACATATTTGAAAAGGAGTTCAATTTTCTTTGAAAAAAGTTCATGAATATGTGAAAAGTTCACGAATTTGATAAAAAGAAAAAAGGAAGGTAAAAAACTGAGAACACCAGCAAAATCTCGTGTGAGGGAAAACCAGAAGAAAACCCGCCCAAAAAAACCATCAGGACAATCTTTTCTTTTTGAGGATCTAACCATCAGAGCAATCATGGGAAGGTTCCAAAAACAAGGTGACAGAAAATACCTACATGGGCTGGTCCATTTAGATATACAGTATTGTGGAGGGATAGGTGCCGGTTTATTGCAAGCACTCTAACCGGCGCTTAAGCCGTCATATCGGAGACCCCTAAAAAACCGTCATATCGGAGTCACCTCTCAAAAAATGCGTCAAATAGGAGTAGGGATAGATGCAAAATAGCCTTAGCACAAAAAGTGCGTGCAAACACTGAACAGGTGGCGGCCCAACGTGTGATCTCGGGACAAACACATATCGTACCATTTAAAAAATGTACGTGACATTTTAAAGAAATATTCATGCATTTTGAAAACATGTTCGGACATTTATTTATTTTACTTAACACAATGTTCACTTAGTTTTATAAAAGGTTTCATGCTATTAAAATATTTAATATTTATTTAAAAATTCAAAATATGTATTTGAAAAAATGTACATTATGAATTTAATATGTACTTTAAAAAATAGACACATGTTGAAAAATAAAAAGATAAAAAAACCCAAAGGAAATTGGTGAAGAAAAGAACCAAGAGAAACTAAACAAAACACATGGAAATGAAAGAAAAAAAATATCTACACAGAAGGTTTGTCAGGACCCCGAGTCGATGTCACATCGATCTAGCCGGTAACACCTCATATCACTTTACGGCCTCACGCACGGTATCCCCACGGGTGTCGCCTTACCTTTGCCCGGGACCGTTTGCGCCTTTTGGCTCACGTATATGATAGTGTCGCTAGCATCCATATGATAAGGAGCCCGGGCTGACATGACTAGTCGTAAACCCAAAGTGGCACAGACTTACAGGGACAGGCATCCATGACCCAGCTTCGAACGTGTCGGTCATCAGCAAGTGGGTCCGGGCTGTAGCACTGGGCTAGCAGGACTCCGGTAAACCGGGCTGTAGCGGGCTAACAGGACTCCGGTACTCAAAGCGTGACATTTCCCCGAAGGGACAGACACAGGAACGAAGAAGGACACATGCCGGCCAGCCTAAGTGTTCCAGAGCAGTAGCAAGCTACCATGGCTCAGCGGTAACACTAGGAGACATTTCCCGGTAAGAGGGGCTACTAAAGATAAACAACTAGATAGTCAGATCCCACACATACCAAGCATTTCAATCATACACACAATATGCTCGATATGTGCAAATACAACGAAGCATCACAACATGACTCTATGACACAAGTACTTTATTTAAGGCTCAGAGAGCCATACATAACATACACAAAGGTACGGGTCTCACGACCCAACATTCAAGTCATACAGTCATACAAACCAGCAGCGGAAGTAACTTGTCTGAGTACAGACAACTAGTAAAATAAAAGAGGCTTGGAAAGCCTAGCTATACTACGTGGTCCGTCACAAGCTCAGGATCACCACCTGTGCCTTTAGCCTACTCGTTGATGTCAATGTCTACATAGAACCCATCAGAAGGGGTTGCAGCGTCTTCTGTAAAAATGTAAATTATAGCAACATGAGTACAAAGGTACTCAGCAAGACTTACATCAGATCCTACATACATGCATATTATCAAGAAGGGTTGGTGGAGTTATTGTAGCAAGCCAGCTTTGACTCTTGGCTAGACTATCCTACGATACTCCAACTTGAAATGGTTTTGCACACACGAGTCCACTACTCACCACTTCAATACACTACCGAGGATCCGCCTCCGTCTTCCTACGGAAGAGCCATCCTCGGCACTCACACTTATCTTGAGGCTTTTAGTAGTTTCCATTTACTTGTCTATGAACTGTATAGGCAACCAAGTAGTCCTTTACCGCGGACGCGGCTATTCGAATAGATCATGATAACCCTGCAGGGGTGTACTTCTTCATACATGTTTCCACCACTTAGCGTCTGCACACGACATGTGCTCGGCAGACTTCAAGCGGAAGCCGACGTGGGTGTAGACCACGACCTACCTAAACACTTAAGCCTCTAGTCCAGGTTTATCGCCTATCCAGGTTCCATCCGCAGGGAGTCCGGCCGAGGTTTCCCATACGGCCCCGAACGATGTGAACAGGGTTCCCGAGATACCTAACGGGTATTCGGTACTCCCGGCCACGTACCTACCGCATCACAGCCCACCCCTACGGTCAGCGCTGTCCACGGCCTCCAGTAGGCTACAAACACCAGAAACTACTTGCAACTCCTGGACAGAGAGCTAAGGTGAATAAGAAGTCGAGCGGGGTCATATTTCAGGGCCCAATGCATGGTAGTAGCTATATCTTAAATCACACATACAGATCTCAGTGCTTAGGGTCGGCTTCAAT